GTTCCCCGTAGTGGCCCGCGACCACTACCACCTTCATCAGCACCAGCAACGGTACCTCAACGCAGCCGATGTCCATTGTGTCGACGCACACGCCGGCTGCAATACTGCAGCATTTTCCGAGGCATGCAGCCCATGCAACGTCAGCAGGTTGCCCAAGCCCATGAGCACTGCATCAATTGTTTGGCTACGGCACACACGACTACGGAGTGTACGTCCGTTACGCTTTGCCAACGATGCCAATGCAATAGACCGCACCACACCATGCTGCATCGCATCCCAAAGCGGGCCGTCGGGCGACAACTCGCCCCAAGCCGCGAGCAGATCTTAGCGGAGCAGCTATCCATATTGCCTCCGAAGACCAGCAGCTCCACCTCCATCCAGACCGAGGCGACAGGAGACATCAACGCGGCCCAGGTCATCATACCGCCGCTTCACTGGCCTCAGCAGCGTTGTTGCCACGCAGCAGCAACTACAGCGATTGCTAGGCTAGAATTCGCCTAGAGGGCCGGGATGGCTAGATGAGTTACGTCTCCCCTTTCCATACACGTGGTGCAGGGGCTTAAGTCATAAGGCATTCACGGCATCTCCCAACTGGTGTGAGTGGTGCTTGCACCCAAAAGGTAAATTCGGCTGTAGTCTAACGGAGCCTTCCCAACACGGGGCCGCATTGGGAAGTAACGGTGGCCTTACCGCGTCAAGGGGCTCTGGCGCGGCGGACTTTTTGTTCCCCTTAACAAAAGGGGAACTTTTTGTTCCCCTCGTACGAACAAGATGAACAACAAAACAACAAAAACCACAACAACAACTAACGGAACTCGGAAACAACAACAGCAAACGAACTTGGACAAGGACAACAACAAAAGCAGCGGTTTTGGTAAGGGCGAATCAGGGGCCAATGGTAAGTTCAGCTTCCTGGACGCCCTTTCGCCAGAGGAGCGAGCGCTGTTCGAGAAGCATGCAGGGGATGATGATGATGACATGCCCTCGTGCAGTGGCGCTCAGCAGGCGACTTCTACTGCGGCCGCGACGGAAAAAGCGAACCCTACGGAGACTCTGTCTAGCAGGAGCGACTGCTCGGACACAGAGGTGTCGCAACGGGCGTCCACCGGGGCTCGCAAACGCAGAAGGAAGAGGGGAGGCAGACTACCATCCCTGCCACCAACGGGGTGTCCAGGAAGACAGGACGATCCCAGAAGAAAAGGCATGAGCAGTGCCAGCCTGAAGTGGTACCTGAGGCACCTCCAGGAAGGAAGAACTCCGGAGGAAGCCGAAAAGCTAGCGCGAAACAGGGTGAGAGGAGACAAAGCCTCCCCTGCTTCAGGAAAGCAGAAGGGTGTCAATACTGCGGCCATTAGGAAGCGAAAAGGCAGCTCCCTCACAGGAGCCGCCCAACACCAAGCGGCAGAGAGGCAACATCGCACAGGCGACTGGTGATCACCACTCCGCCCCAAATTCATCCGGAGGGTGAGCTTCCGCCTAAACTATAGGTTCAGCTCGGTGGTGGGGGCGCTACCCTCCACTCAGGAGCTTTTGGAGGCGCTCACGTACCTAGCGGGGGGCATCGGGGAGGACGGTGAGAATGAGGACCAGTTCCTCATGGAGGTCGGCCTCGGCGGTTATCGCGAGCAGGTTCACAATGGATGGACTGGGCATACTACTGATCCAGGAGCCATGTGTCAATAAAAGAGAGGTCAGGGGCCTCCAAATGGAGTCGAATAAGAGAATCTGGGGCTCTCTAGTGGGAGACCTAGAACCTGCATAGTACTTAGGAACAGTATTGATTTCTTTTGTATTTCAGAGTTCCTAACACAGGACCTGGTCGCTGTGTAAGCAAGGAACGACGAAGGAGCGGACTTCGTCGTGTCAGCGAGTCTCTTATTGAGTTTATAGCTAGTAAGAATTTAAGTATTGCAAACGTTGGGTGCGATCCCACCTTTGTAACTAGTGTTAGAAGGGAGGTGCTTGACATCACTCTCAGTAACGACTCTGTGGCAGGGCTGATCTCACAATGGAGGGTGTCATCGGAACCCTCCATGTCGGATTACCGTATCATAAGATTCGCACTGGGGATGGAGGTCAAACAACTCCCTCCCAAGCGTATCCCTAGGAACACGGACTGGGCCGCTTTTAGGGACTCGCTTGTAACAAATGTTAGTAGTAGCGAGCAGCTGGATAGGAGTGCAACGGCTTCTGGATTGGAAAGCAGACTGTCTGCTCTAAACCAATCCATTACAGAGGCATATCACAGCAGCTGTCTCCTAAAGACAACCACCAAGAGTCGTAACTGCTCCTGGTGGTCTAGTAAGCTCTCAGTACTAAGAAAAACGGTACGGAAGCTATTCAATAAGGCTAAGCGCACCAGTAGAGCTTCAGGAAGTTCTGTGAAAGCGTCTCCTCAACCCCAGAGGCAGCAAGGCTACATAAGACTCTGGCTAGAGGTAAGACGCACACAGTACTGGCGATTAAAATATCTGTTGGAACCTATACGTCCAGCGCAGAAGAAAGAGCCACGGCTCTTCTACTTGCGCATTTCCCGGAGACGATTCAAGAAGACCAGAACCAACCTATGGTCGAACGAAGACCATCACGATTGGGCTGAATAGTCGCAAAACAGCTCTTCACTGCAGACTCCATCAAGTGGGCTTTGGCCTCCTTTGAAAAATATAAGTCCCCGGGTGCGGATGGTATCCTTCCAGCATTTCTGCAACAGGGGGAGCAGGTGCTACTGCCCCACCTTGTTCGGCTGATGAGGGATAGCCTAGCGCTGGCATATATCCCAGAACCATGGCGCACTGCAAAGGTGATCTTCATACCCAAAGTAGGAAGGAAAGACTACTCATTGGCGAAATCATTCAGGCCAATCAGTCTTACTTCCTTCCTGCTTAAGAGTATGGAAAAGATCATAGACCACGAAATACGATCGAAGGTGCTGAAGGCTTCACCGCCTCATGCGAAGCAACATGCTTACAGAGCAGGCAGATCAACAAACACTGCTCTGTACCAGCTAACCTCGGAGATCCGGAATTCGTTAAATGGGGGCGCCTTCCTTGTCATCGAAGGTGCCTTTGACAATACGTCTCATCGTCTCATGAAAGCGTGTCAAGAGCACTGGAGAAAACGAGTGTGGCAGCACCAGTGCGCAGATGGATGGATCTAACTAGCAATGAATCCGCTGTCAGGGATATGGGGGTGCTCCCCCCGTACTATCAGGTGGATGTACACCATGATCGTGAGACCGATTATCACGTATGGAGCGGTATCTTGGGGTTCTAAAGCATCGCAGACTTCGGTAGTACTCAAACTGTCGAAGCTGCAAAAACTGGCCTACATCTGGGCGTCGGGAGCAATGCGAACGTGTCCGACCGCAGCACTGGAAATCATGCTAGAACTTTCACCGCTACACGTGGTAATCAAACAGACAGCCAAACGGACTCTACTCCAAATGACAGAGGGAGTTGGCAAAGGGAAGGTAATCTCATCCCAGCAGATGAAGGCGCTAAGTGAGGAAATACCACTGGCCCTTCTCCCGAGGGACAGCATTACCAAAGTAGTAAACTTCACTAAGAAGTTCAAAGTTACCCTTGGCAGCAAGTCTGAATAGAATGATTCATCACTGGACCTGCTGCTAAGGGAAAGTACTATCAAGTGGTACACCGACGGGTCGAAAACGGCGGAGGGGATTGGTTCAGGGGTCGCTGGGCCAAGCACCAAACTCTCCATTCCCATGGGAAGTTTCCCGAGCATTTTCCAAGCCGAGGTCTATGCTATAAGTCGGTGTGTAGAGATAAACCTCCAACGCAACTATCGCAATAAAAGTATCGCTATACTCAGCGATAGTCAGGCGGCACTAAAAGCGATCTCTGCCTATGAGGTCAGATCACTTCTAGTGCTGGAGTGTATAGAACGGCTGAACAGCCTATCAGAGCACAACCGAGTGCACCTTATATGGGTGCCTGGCCATAGGGGTATAGCCGGGAACGAACTGGCTGACGAGTTGGCCCGCTCTGCATCCTCTTCAAAAATGGTAGGACCGGAACCATTCATAGCGGTTGGTCCACATATCATTAAAGAGCTCCTCCGTAGTGAGGAAAGAGCAGGCAGGGAGACACATTGGCAACAACTTCAGGGCATGCACCATGCCAGGTTGCTAATGGGGGGTTACGACCTCCAACGATTTAAAGCGATAATTAATCTCCCGAGGAACAAATTCCGGCTACTTGGTGCGTTCTACACCGTCCACTGCAGGCTCAAGAAGCACCTCTTCAACATAGGTATAGCCTCTTCTGCAAACTGCCGGTTCTGCGACATAGAGCCGGAAACCCCTGAACATCTGCTGATGAACTGCACAGCAGTCTACAGACGCAGAATCAAGGCCCTGGGATCCATGTTTCCACACAGGGATTGTATCGCCTCACTAGCACCCAGCAGAATTTTGGAATTTATCAACATGCTGGGCCTAGATGATACGATATGCCTTAGAGGAGGGCACAATAGACCATAGGTCGCGGTGCATACCTCCAAATTAATCAATTCTATTCTATTCTAACACACACCCCTGCAGACATCACACCACTCAGACCACTCACACATACACATCACACCACAACTCTACACAACCCAACACTCTAAAGGGACTAACACAGGACCAGAGGCCAATTTTTTTTCGTTCGCAACTCGAGCCGTTCAGACGTACGCCAACCGTAGTAACTTTTCGTCCGAGTTTCCAGATTTTCATTGGGGTTTTGTGATCTATATTTTTTTACATTTGTTTTAATAAACATAGCGGATACCGCCGGATAACCTACATTAAATTTCGAATCCATTTTCATGTTTTGTGCTTGCACCAAACGCATTTATAACGGTGAGTGCAAACGAGTGTAATATTCACTTGTTTTAACTTTATTTTAGTATTTTCATCATGTATATACTATTTTAAAAATTTAAATAAATGCTTGTGTATGTGTGTATGTTTGTATGTGTTGTCACACGACAATGGGTTGTTTTTAATTGTACAACTCAATAAATGTGCGTGTGTGTGTCTTCGTTTGTTATATATTTTATGTGTTATGTGATGTGGGTTTTCTTTAAAATATATTTTTGTGTGTACCCATTTAGTTTAGTTTTCAAAGATATACATTACCACAGCCCTGAATAAGTTTAAAAATAAATTATAAAATGGTTCTTACTATGTAAATTTTTATAAAATGGCACACCCTAAACTTAAATATGAAAAAAAACGCTAAAACAAAATAAAAATAATAAATCAAAATAATTGATCAAAATGCAAAAAAATTTTAAAACAAGAGCACATTCAATACTTTCATAAATAATTTCGTAATCTGGGCATTTGAAAACCCAGAAGCGACGTGCTGCGTTGACTAATGTGGTCTAATGTGCTATTAAGCAAGCCAGGTTCGCCCACGTCATGCACAGATGCCGGATGGTACCAGGACCAAATAAAGATGATAGCGTGTGATGACGAACGATGAGTCCAGCTGTACAAGGCCGCAATACCCCAGGTTGGGGAGGTTTGCCATGCAGATTCTGCTATTGTTAAATAAAGAATACAAAAAACCGCTGACGAAAAGTGGCGGGGAGATAAACTATGGGTTTACAAATGTGAAGGTCATGACCTACAAGTCGGACGCCGATGAAGTAAACCACTTGGCATCGGAAACTGAGTGTGAAGTCGAGGAAAATAAAATGGAGTCCTCGAGTGACGTTGAAAAACACTGAGCAAGATGAGTGTTCTTCACCTAGTCGGTGCTCCGCAGCATAAACATGTTTATCTCGACAATGCCGAGACAATAAAAAAGATATAACATAAACAAACACAAGGGAACCATATGCATGCAATACACATGCATTCATCACTTAACAATGCAAAACGTATTTACCTAGTTTAAGAACTTACAGATAAACAAACATACCTAGTATTATCTATGCATACAATGTAATACACATAACATATACACGCACATTTAGGTATATTCTAAAAATAATATATAAGCAATGAAAATACTGAAATAAAACCAGAATGAAATAGTTCTCACTCGATGACGATGTCTATCAATTTTAGTCCCTCACCAGAGTTAATACAATATTGTTTAGCTCGTCATCAATAGAACAGAGGTAGTATTTGCGGATTGAAGACACCGGGATATAATTTATACATGGCAAACTGCGAATGGCTAATGAAAAACTTAATGTGTTCTTGTTACATAGCTAAAGTAATCAATACACCACAGCAGTAAGCTGGGAGACGGGCAGTAACAAATACAGGTGTAAACTATAATAACTTGTATAAATATTATTTAAAATTTAATAATAAATATAATATATCCCACATGTTAGAGTATCTTAATGAAACTCAAAGACCACCTCTTTCTAATAATCGTGTTAGTCTGAGAGCCAGTGGACGGCAGGGCAGACTGTATGTATTTTACCCAAGGTGATATTTTGCTAAGAGATTCTCCTATACCTATCTTATATGATATCGGGAGTCACTAAGCCCAGCGAAGGTAGCTATAACGTCACTAAGGTAATACATGTACGAAGTTTCGAAAGTATTTTAACAAAGCTGCAGTTTGATCATATTAAAAAGTGCAATGAATGGCAGATTGTGAGTTATAGCCTCGTGGTAGACGTTTTGAAAATAAAAAGTATTTTAACATATCTGATTTATATATATATTGCTTTTAATACTCTTAATAGCTTATTCTTCGAACGGCAAACGTTTTCTCTGGTTGCAACAGCCCGGAAGACGGTAATACATATATTACTTACGTTGTAAGTATATGTTACTACTGCAATTAATAGGTTTAATGTATTGTACATAAATCTCAAACCACTTAAGCTAAATCAACCAAACTCGCTCAGAACAAATATATTTTGGTACCCCGCCCACTCCCCATATAACGGTTATGCTGAAAACTACTAAAAATTAGATAACTTAATAAATGAAAGTGTCAGACATACTACAACAACGCGTACTTTCCATATAACACAATTTTAAAATCCATCTGACATATCCGGATTTCTTCTAACAACATTTTTCTTCAACGCAGTAAGGGTCTAATTTTTCCTTTTTTTAAAAATGCCGTGTTAAATCACATCCCGTGAAATCGTGAAAACCAATCAAGCTTTTTGTCAATGATTCGCCGAGTTGCTCTTGAATTTTTGTGGTGTCAATTAACCCTTCATGATTCAGGTTCCAGTAAGCATCCAAATATTAAACAACCGATTATTTAAGTAAATCATATTATCAAGCATTACTATTACGATATATTATAACTAATTTATCATTCATTTTGTAAGAATAACAAAGGCAAAAGTTGAGATGTATTAAATTAGTGCCAAGGAACGGAATAAGTCCGCAGCTAGTCCAATGTATTATAAAATTATTAAAGCTTCCTTAAATTCAATATTTTCCAACTCTTTGCAGATATCTGTTGGTCTCACTTGTTCAGGTCGCACCTGTTCTTTGTCCAGGATATTTTTGACCATTTGTAAAATGGAAATATTACCAAATGTTTTTGGCACAATTTTATAGATTGTAAAATAAAAAAAGTAAAGAAAATCTAATTTCGGGTGTAACCGAACATTTTATACTCTCGCAACTTGCAAAGTTAAAAGCTGGGAATACACTTTTGGGTGCTGGCAAAACACCTAGTTTCATAACTTCATTTTACTTACCGTCAGCAAAAATTATATTAAAATCATGCTCAAATGAGATATATATGACATAAACTGAACCAAAGAGGCTAATATTAAAATGTTGAGTTAATGTGGTAAACGCTAACCAAAGGATCGAAATTCATTGTTTTAGTGATATGAGGTTTAGACCAACTCCTTACTCCCAGAAAAACGCCTGGGCACTACCTTTGCCATTGACTCATACACTGACCCACATAATCGGCATATGGTTTGTTAGAATAACGAAAATCATTATATGTAGAATATGGGAATCGGGGTAATTCGACCAATTTCACACATTTTCTGCATTAAGGGGGTTTCTACCTTGCTAGCCCGAAAACCTGCGTTTTTTCTTGAATTCTGAATGAATGGCAAAATTTTCGCACATTTGTCGGAAAAAGTTTATTGTAGCTTTACAAAATAGGGGGTACCAAACAATAGCTGTAGGTCGGCGGCGAACCGTAGTACTAGAACGAAGGAGAAAACATGAAATATGCATCCATTATGAGCATTTGAAAATTTTTGGCTCCATTTTTTTTGTTACTAATTATTTTTTTAAATAAACAATTTTAAATATTTTTGCACAAACTTCTGATGAACAAGTGTAAAAGACTTCATGGTGATTGCTCAATTTTTGCGCCCTGTAGGACTCGAGAACCTTATCAACTAAAAAACGCGGTTTTGAAAAAACCGAGGTTTTTTTCAGGCCGCGTCGCAAATTTTTATGGTATATTCTTGCGAAATGTATGCAAAAATATGCAATAAAAAAAATCTGGTTTTTCGATCTCACAATAAAGAAACCCCTCTTAAACTATAGTGTATCCAATTTTATACGCTCAGTTAATTTTGCTAAGATATCGTACATGTTGACTTATACATTGTGTTCATGAAAATAGTAGTGCATCAAGAACATATACGGACTTGAAAAGTCAAAAATCGTTGTTATATTGTAAGAATTATGAAAACGAAAAAATTCCGTTACTTTTGCTTTTCCGTTTTGTTTTTCTAAAAAATAAAATAACAAACAAGCGAAGAATCGTGGGAAAAAAACCAATATTGGAGGACATATTGATTATACGATATGTACAAAACAAGCCCTAAGCATCCTCAAAAATGGTGAATTTAATGTTGTCAGTTACTTCTCTTACAAATCATAGGGGACTACTTGAAAACAATTTGAAGATAAAGAGTTCCCGGAACGTTAACTTCGGTTGCACCGAAGCTATAATACCCTTCACAAATACAAAGGCCCCTTACATGATTTTGATTCCGAACGTTCAATTTGTATGGCAGCTATATGATATACTGATCTGATCTGACCAATTTCTGTGGAGAATAATTTGTTGCCTTAAATAATTTCGTGAAGATTCCTCGACAAATGAAAGAGTTTTCCATACAAACACTTGATTCCGATTGTTCAGTTTGTATGACAGCTATATGCTATAGTGGTCCGATATCGGTCGTTCCGACAAATGAGCAGCTTCTTTGTGAGAAAAGGACAGGTGCAAAATTTCAGATCGATAGCTTAATGCTTTTTTTTTCAAGGAACCAAGTCCAGAAAGAATCTCCGTTCACTACGAAACATAATTTATCATTCCAGGTACACTACCAAAACTTTTAAACATAGTGGTCTGACCATTATGTTATGGGCATACTCTTCGTACCATGGTGTCGTTCCTATACATTTGATCTATAACATCTTGGTCCTAAAAGAGTATGTAAACGTACTGAAGGATGTTATGTTACCATTTGCCAGCTGAAAAATGCCTATAAAGAGAACGTTTGAGCAGGATAACGACCCAAAACATACGACCAACAATCGAAAATATATGGGGAGATATTAAACGAGTTGTAGCAACAGCAAATCCATCAATTAGAACACAACTTTGGCCAGTGATCAAGGAGGCGTGGGCTGAAATCCTTCTTTTTATACCCTGAACAGGGTATATTAATTTTGTCACGAAGTTTGTAACCCCCAGGAGGAAACGTCGGAGACCATATAAAGTATATATATAAATGATCACCGTGACGAGCTGAGTTGATTTAGCCATGTCCGTCTGTCTGTCCGTCCGTCCGTCTGTCCGTCTGTATATACGCGAACTAGTCCCTCAGTTTTTGAGATATCGATCTGAAATTTTGAACACTTCTTTTTCTCCCTAAGAAGCTGCTCATTTGTCGGAACGGCCGATATCGGACCACTATAGCATATAGCTGTCATACAAACTGAACAATCGGAATCAAGTGTTTGTATGGGAAACTCTTTCATTTGACGAGTGTATCTTCACGAAATTTGGCACGGATTATTAGTTAAAGCAACAATGTAATCTCCGAAGAAATTATTCAGATCGGATGACTATAGCATATAGCTGCCATACAAACTGAACAATCGGAATGAAGTGCTTGTATGGAAAACTCTTTCATTTGACGAGGTATCTTCACGAAATTTGGCATGTATTATTATTCAAAGCTTTAATCTAATCTCCGAAGAAATTGTATGGATCGGATGACTATAGCATATAGCTGCCATATTAACTGAACGATCGAAGTAAAGTGCTTGCATGGAACATTTTTTTATTTGACGAGGTATCTTCACGAAATTAGGCACGAGTTATTGCTTAAGGCAACAAATTATTCTGCACAAAAATTGGTCAGATCAGATCAGTATATCATATAGCTGCCATACAAATTGAACGTTCGAAATCAAGTTCTTGTAAGTGGCCTTTGTTTTTGTGAAGGGTATTATAGCTTCGGCGCAACCGAAGCTAACGTTTTTTCTTGTTTTTAAATAAATCTTGTTAGTAAAAAGGACATATACTATATTGAAAAAATAAAACTGTTTAAAGGTATTCAATTTATAGTTTGTATTTTTAAATTGATTTGTTTTTTTGTTTTATCTTATATTAGACATATGGGAGATATCGGTAGTATCAAACCGATTTTATCTATTTTTGGATTACCACATATTATTAAAAGAAAAAGATGCTCTCTGAGTTTCATTACCTCACACACCATCACCAATATATATGGAGTAAAGTCAATCGGATTGAAAATCCTGATATTAGCAATATGGGGGCTAGGGCAAGTTTTCATCCGATTTTTTCCAATTTTTGTGAAAATGATATAGTAATTAGTATTAACAGTTTCAGCAGGATTTAGAAGCTCGTGATATACCACACCCTTTTGATCCCACCAAACACAGAGCATTGCCTTCTTACCGAATTGATCCGTTTTTGCAGTCGATGTTGATGGTTGTCTCGGATTAACCCATTATTTTCTCCGTTTAGGATTCTTAAAATAAGTCTATTTTTCATCGCCAGTGACAATTCGATGCAAAACTGATTTTCTTTTGTGTCTTTGAAGGAAAATTTCATAGGTGATTTTTCGCTTTTCCATTTGTCTTTTATTCAATTTATGTGGCACCAATTTTCTATACTTTTGGATCTTTCCCAAAGCTTTCAAACGGTCTGAAATTTTTTGTTGTGCAACACAGTTCGGCGTCTTCAAACCTTTTTTGGTAGTCGTCCTCGTTCTTCATTTCTCACATCAAAATCATTATCTCTGAACCGTTGAAACCATCTTTTGCATGTTGCTTCTGATAGAGCATGATCACCATATGCCTCGACAAGCATTCAATGCGACTCTGCAAACCTTTTCTTCAAATAGAAACAAAAAATTAATGCTTTCCGCAAATCATCACTTTCCGGTACGAAATTTGACATTTTCAACACAATTAAAAAATATGTTGTTTTTTTTAATGACTGTAAGGTTATTGAATATGTTTGACATATGTCATGCCAACCAAACAGAAAAAAATATTAAGGCTCGTTCACTACAAATGTTTCCTACCAACACACACACAAATGTTTCCTACCACAACGCTCACTTTTATTCACAATGAGAAAAATACTCCTTCATTTTCATTAATAGTTCCCTTTTACCCATTTTCACAGTGTAACAGAGGAGTGTCAGGGTAATGTTATGAACCGGTTGCAATTGGTGGAGCAGGTCCCGAGATATGGGTGTTTTAATAAATAGCCACGGTCATTATTCAATTTTGATACCGGCTCCTATTAAGCTTTTCTATATCATCTTGACTTTAAAATATAGTGTGTCTGTCACTTTCATTTATTGAGTTATCGCACTTTTAGTAGTTTTCAGCATAACCGGAGAGTGGGAGGGGTTCTAATCCGATTTCAACCATTTTTACGATTTCGATATATATTCTGAGCACGTTTGGTTGATTTAGTTTAAGTGGTTTGGGAGTTATGTACATTAATTGCAGTAGTAACATATACATACGTACACCGTAGGTAATATAATATATTATTAAGAATAATATATAACATATATAAATTAGATTTGTTAAAATACTTTGAAAAATTTTTTTTTTTCAAAACGTCTTCATAGTAACACACAAAATGGTCTGTAATTTTGGCCGTTGCGTTCATTGTACTCTTAAATATGACCAAGCAGCTTTGTTAAAATACTTTCGAATCTCTTCTAATTTTCGAACCTGTATTACCTTAGTGACTTCATAGCTTCCTTCGCTGGGTTAGTAGCTCCCGATCTTATGTAAGGTAGGTATGGAAGAATCGTTTAGCAAAATAACTCCTTTGATAATATACATACAGTCTGCCGTCCATTGACTCTTAGACTATGCATCTCTGTGCCGTTAGATGGGATACTTTAAATGCACAATTTGTGCAAAGTTTTATTTCAATTAAATCATTGGATCACGATTTTTGTACCGTGAAGTGAAGGAATTACATGGGATTTAAAATATCAAGGTTGCTCAATTTTGAGAACAGCTCCTAAGAAGCCATTGCGTACCATCTTATTGAGTATATAAATTTAAATGATGACGAGACAAGAAGAATTTCGGACGTCTATATTGCCTCAACAACAACTCTTTTCTATTCTATTCTTTCACTTTGCAGTAGATAAATCAAGCGTCAATGAAGACATCGGAAGAAAACTATGCGCAAGTAGTAATTTTAAGATATATCTACAAATGGTCGGCCAGAAATCTTCAGCATTGTCCAATAGCAGAGGAATTGTGTACCAACAGGATAACGTCTGAACACACACATCTATAGTGACACGCCATAAGCTCCGACAGCTTAGTTGAGAGGTTATTATGTATCCACCTAGCATCAAGTGTTTACCTACCTGTTGCTGTCTATGACGAATGATTTTGCTGGTGTAAGCCTCAAGAGAAGCTTGATGGTTTCTATGGTACGATACCGGAATTGGCCCGGATTTTCACCAGCTAAAGGTTGTTATTTCTGCTATCTAACCCTGTTTGGATCGGCAAACAATTGTAGGAGATTGGCATTATAAAATTACCTTCAAAATTGTAACAAGTCATCGAACAAAACGCTGCATACCTGACCTAATCGGATCATTCTAACGATACTTTATAAAACCTTCAATTTAATACAAAAATAATAAATTTCTTACTTCTAGACCTTATCTTGAATATACATATATATCTATAAAGGTTAAAATTTTTTCGAGAGTATAAAAATATGAACTATTTTGAATGAATACTTACATAATACTTGTATTTAGATTCCGTGCGTACGCTTCCTTATCTATTGATTCAGGAACTGCGTATTTTTTACGGCTATCTTCATTGGTGCTCCCATTACATATATTTTTAGGCTCGGTTTTGGAACAGTTTATAGATTCGCTCATCGGGCAGTCGTTGAACAGGAGTGGTTGTCTTTTTTTAGGAAATGGTAAATTTGGGGTCAAATTTGCTGTAGATCGTTTATAAAATATTGGATCCGAAATAGAATTTGATATCAATGGTGTGTTGAGATTATCAGTTTCTATAAGGTTTAAATATGACGAGTTAGTATTTGAAAAGTTATATAATGATTCCATTTTACTTCGCTGCTTTTGTTGTTCCGTTTCCCTTAAATGCTCAAGAGTATGTCCCTTCAGCAATTTTGGTTTGAGATCATCTAGTACACTTTTATCAAAAGATATTCCGTCATCCTTTTCCACTTCTTTTTCTAAATGTACAAACTCTAAGAATGAACGATGCGGAGTACCTTCAATTCTACGTTTACAATTAGAAGATAATGCAGCCCTTGCTTCTTTTAAATTTAATACCAACGAATCGCTACTACCGTCACTAAAATCAAGGGCCTTCTGTCGCATCATAACCGCTTTATTGCCTTTTGTAACTTTCGAAATCGGAGTACATTTAAATTCATTATTATAATTATGTTCCGTCAAATTTATATCATGTGATGATTTTAATTCAATTTTATAGCTATCTAACCCTGACACGGAGTGTATGTCAGCTTTTAATGGTGATATATCTTGATTAAAATATATAGTATGCCTTTGTTTATAAAAATTTTTGTTATTTTGTGGAGTTACATGAAGTTTAGTGACAAGTTTAGTTTCATCACAAGTTTCAGAAGCTACTGGTTTTATACTTTTGGGTGAAACATTCGTTATGGTTGGAATACTAGTTAAATTCAAGCTCATATCTGAGAGATCAGATATCGACCTCATAAGTTCTTTAGATGATTTATTCGGTTCTTTGCCATTTAAGATATATTTACTAGATTTTAATTCGTTGGTATTTTGTAAGTTGTTGTAAAAATCTATGCTTATACTCTCAAGATTTATATCTTTTATTATTGAAGCGGTTAATACCATTTTGGTGGAAGATGTATCGATTTCGGAGCTGCATTGAATTGTGTCTCTTTCATATCCATTTGCAGATAGTTTTGACACATTTATAAAACCCGTCTCGTCACCTACTTTTTCTTTCACAAAAAAACTTGTGCTGTCTGATGTCATATCTTGATATACCGAAAATTTTGATGTATCATTCTTAGTATCTGTATTGTATGAGATATCATTAGTATCACGTTTTAAAATCGTTTTAAATGTAGAGTTATCATTAGGATTAGTTAAGGGACATTGTTTGATTTTATTAGGGAACACAATTATTTTTCCATCACAAATTTCAGCATTCAACTGACGAAGATTTATCTTCTTACTTTTAATTGGTGGAAACAAAGGCGAGTTGTAACTAACGCTGCGTAATGAACTGTTCTCATAATTTTTAATATGCAATTTAGTCTCTATACTCAAAAGGGAGTTATTATTAGTATGCTGATCATCTGGATCTGATTCAATTATTAAATTCCCGCATAGAAGATGGGAATCCTTTATTTTCGCTAAGGTACCCGTCAATATATTTTCAGATGAGGAGCATACCTTTCTTAAGGCATCCACTTTTGGAGCATTCGTTTCTGTTACAGTTATTTGTAATTTTTCTTTAGAATTTATATAAGAATAATTGTCTGAAATGAAGTGAATCAAAAATATAACGAATTAAATTATCTAAAATGTATGCACTCACTTTCCGAACTTTTTTGCATATACTGATTTAAATGTCTAGAAATATCCATAGGTCCCTCAGTTTTAATTGACAATCTCCTACCCGCAATCTTTACTGATTGTATGGACCCAAATATATGCTGATTGTTAAAATTTTTAGTGATGTCTTCGGTTTGCTCACAATTATTAACATTTATAAGTTTATCTGTTTGATAAGCTTCATTCTCACGTACTTTTGATATATCCATTTCCATCACCTGCATTACACTCATGTGATGGTTACCCATGCTAACACTTTTGTCATGCGTCAAAATGTCTTCATTTGCGTAGAAAATGTCCTCCGAAGTTATTGGTTGTGAACCATTAATCTTTAAAGACATCAAATGTAACGACAACACTTAAGATGGCAAGCAAGAAAATTTAAAATGTATATAGTTTACAAGTAATGGTGAAGGATATTATATTGAGAAATAAATCGGCAATTCCCAAAAGTTTCAGTTTTATATTAAAATATCATACATTGCAACTAACATAAACGGTTTAAAGCCAGGAAAAATAACTACATCACGTAATATGATAGGAAGCTTTAAAGCATTATATTAGGTATATGGGGAGGGGGGAAGTATTGAGCCGATTTAATCCATTTTTGGCATTACGACATATGTTTACGAGAAAATGACGTTCTCTGAATTTCATGAAGATACCTCACATATTTAAAGACATTAAGATATAAGACCAAGGAGAAGTTAGAAAATCTTTATATTAGGTACATATATGGGAGTAAGGAGAAGTATAGATCCGATTACAGTGAAATTTCCCAATCGGACAGTTTTCATTAATATTTTCATAAAAAATAATTTGCTATAACCGGACGTTCAAATGACCGGACACGGACACTATTTTTCAAAATTTCGTTTAACTTATCTCTGATAAACGGACAAGAATTCATAAAAAGTGTAAAGAAATTGTGTACAATTTAAAGTCCCCTATTTTTAAATTCTTCTTAATTTGTGGAGTTTTGCGACAATTTTTTTTTTTTTTTTTTTTTTTGAAGAACAATACGCAAAATGATTGCAGCAAGCAAATTGTCTTGCGCTGGGGACGTCTGGTTCGCGGTGACTTAACGGAAACTAATTGAATAGTTCTCATTCATTCACTCCTTCAGTAGAAATAAATTTCTTATGCAGTATTTTTTGTCATTCGGAGGATTATGTTATAAGTTTTATACTCTCGCAACATGTTGCAACAGGATGTATAATAGTTTTGTTCACCTAACGGTTGTTTGTATCACCTAAAACTAATTGAGATATGTAGATATGGAGGTTCCAATAGTAGAAGCAATTCGGCTAGTAGCGGAGCTAGTACTTTGTTACACTTTAAATTTAAAATACCAACTGAACTGAGAATACAAATTGACTTACTGCTAAACTTAAAGGTGAGCACGTAGAACTAAAAAGTTGAATTATGCCGACTCATAATAAGTGATAACACATCCATTTGTGACATAAGCAAGTCTCAGGTGATACTGAGAGCAAAACCGACTGCAAACCAAACTTTGTGCGATCCGGCAGACTTCAATTCGTTTTTGAAATCTTGGCTGACGTGAATGTTTTTATTTTTCATCCTATGGAGTTGAGGTATGCCTAATACCGGGAACAGAGGAACGGAAAGTGATATCCCGTTTGTGATAACCTCTGGACCTTCGTCTGTGCTGTATTTTATCTTAGGGTATGCTAAGGACTGGAAGATCTTGTTTTTGTAACGGTTATCTAGTCCCCGCTTGGATGATAAGTAATAGTTTGGCTGTCGTCGAGGTCATCTTACGGGAGGCCCAAGAAACAAGCTGTTTCGACGGGGTCGGACCATAGGGAAAAAAGTGTTAGATGAGTTGGGTTTGTTGAGCATGCAAAGAGGTGGTTAGTATCATGCGGAGCCTCATTGCACGCAGGACATATGTTTGGAATGTCGGGGTCTATTCTGGATAAGTAGGAGTTTAACCTGCTACAATATCCAGAACGAAGTTGCGCGAGGGTCACTCTGGTTTCGAGAGGCAACTCCAGCTCTACGTCTGCTGTGGGTGGTGGTTTGACGCCTAGTACGCCATTCACGGAGAGAAGTTGATGAAGGTGTTAATATCTCCACTGTGAATGACGGTCAGTGCTTATCTATAGTTCTTGCGTCGGAAGTCCGGTCGGCGTACTGTCTGATGTCGTCGACGTAATCAAGGAATGACCTCTTGATGTTCCTAGGAGCCGGTTCCACTTCAAGCAGACGACTGCAAGGGTGATTTCTACGAAAAACCGCAGAAACTGCTTGGAGAGGAGCGCGTTATGTTCCTTAACCGGAAGCAGGTGTTCTATTGGAGACATCAAGAGGCATCCCATGATAGTCCGGAGTGCAGTGTTCTGACAAGTCTGAAGCTTCTTCGTCAGCGTTGCACTACATCCAGATGACCATATTGGTGATGCATAGTTTAGGACCGGCCGGCCGATTGCCTTGTATGTTGCCTACAATGTTTCTTTGTCTTTTCCCCAAGAGCTGCCGGCAAGCGATTTGAGGATTTTGTTGCGGCTCTGTACGTTGGCAGTTATCGCGGTCGTATGAGGAGTGAAGGAGCACAGACTGTCCAATGTAACGAATAAAATTTTAGGGTTATTGACTGTCGGAATTTTTGTGCCATCGACTGAAATGTTCCGATCCATTCTGTACTCCTTCGTCCAGTTTGGGAAAATGGTCGCTGTGGATTTAGTGGTTGAGAGTGTCAGACTCCTTGCAGAGAAGAAGCGAGAAAGGTCGGTGGTAGCTGTTTACTTTTGAGCACATGCCATCGATTTCATTGCCCGACGTCAATATCGAGCAGTCATCAGCGTACGAGGTCACGGAAATTCCCGCTGGTGGTTGGGGGAGTTTCGAAATGTAGAAATTAAACAGTAGTGTGGAGAGGACATGGCCCTGCGGAACCTTCTGTTGAATTGTTCTACGTTTGGAGTTTTGACCTCGAAACAGTATGGATGAATGCCGACCGCTCTGGTAGTTCATAGTCCACCGCTTCAGCCCTGGAGGAGCGTTGATTGTTCTAGGTCTTCAAGTAGCGTTGTGTGATTGACTGTGTAAAAAGCTTTTGACAAGTCCAACGCTACGAGGATCGTCCTCTCGCAGGTTGGCTTCTACTTTAGGTCATGAACTATCTGGGCGTTTATTACGCTAAGTGCTGTGGCTGTACACTTTTCTGAAGCCATGCTAATGGTCTGCTAGACTCAGGTGGTGAGTGAATGTCGGGAGTAGCAAGGCCTCAAGTGTCTTCACTACTGGGGAAAGGAGAGTTATCGGGCGATAAGACTCCCCTTTGTTGGCGGGATTTCCCAGGTTTCAGTAGTGGGACCACTCTTCGACTTTCCACACATCTGGTATTTGAAGAGTGGACATCGGCAAATTGAGGGCCTTGGTGAGGTATGGATTTAGACGATTTGGCGTTTTTGATGACATGCCTCTGAACCTCCCCATCGGTGAAAGTAAGTGGTGCGCAGTATTTTGCCATTTTGCGCAGCCGTCGGATAACACATTGTTCGGCCTTGTCGGTCGAAGGGTGCAGTGTAAACTGCCGGCTAAAATAGCTCGCGCACTTCTTCGGGTCCGAGGAATTATGGCCTTGACAGTAGTCCAAAGCTTACTTACACCGGTGGAGAGATTGCAGGACTTAAGGTGCTCTATCCATTTTGTCCGCTGTTGATTTACCATTTGCCGAATCTCCAATTTGAGATCCCTTATTCGGGGACCACAGGGAGCGGCATGGCGTAAGGTGTCGCGCTCGTTTGCTAATACAGCTGCTACGGCTGGGAAATTAGGGCGGAGTTCCCCCATCAGACTGGGAGTCATGCTGCCTAGTGCTTCTTAGGGCCATAGAGGTCCTTTCTTGGCCACTCGACTGGAGTGGCGGCGCAGTGTTGCGTTGGCAGCATGGGCCCACGTAACTTGTGGTCCACTCCCTATGGGTCTTAAGGCCTGAGCAGTTCTTAAGATGGATCCATCCATTGCATACATGGGTTGGACTCGATTACATCACGGGTCAAGAGGATAAGGAGCAACCCTGCTGCTAGGTGGTGCTCTAATGACGACAAACTTAATCTAACACTTACCGATCCAAACAGGGTCGTAGAACGGTAACGTAGAACCGGCTGTTGTGGGAATTGACTGGAAGATCTTAATTTGAGATGCTTCGGATAGGCTACCTATGAGGACTTCTACAGAGTGCTCATTTAAAATGGACCTCAAATCGTCATGTTCAAAAATAATGGGATTTATTATGTCAGCCTTAGCTAGAGTAATTGTGAGTATCAAGAGTGATATTTGATTTGGTAACATTCTATTCCTTGCTAATAGTGTTTCATACAAATGCCGTGCACCGATCAACTCATTCCTTTTTGCTTTAATTATTATATTTCATTTACTGTTTCTGTGAGTTTATTAATCTGCTCTTGTGTTTTGGTGGCAATGGTTATTTTTCTATTAATTAATTTGCACCAATAAATTTTGATTCGGACCACTTTATTCTTTCAAAATCAGAGGCATCTGGCATGCCTGCTACCAACTTTAGTGCTGACCCTAAGAAGTGCTGACCAAAGGTCTCGGTATTCCCGCGAAGTCTTTAATAAACCATCTGTAATAGCTAGCCAATCAAGGAAACGGTCGCAAACTGTACAGGTTTTTCGGCTCAACATACTTCTTTATGGCTCAAACTTTTTCAGGGTGAGGTTTCGCTTCGTTGGTGGTTACTAAGAAGCCTAAGAATTCAATGCTTTCTTTAAATAACTTCGATTTTTCTTGAGATACTCTCATGTTAGCGTCACAAAGGCATTTTAAAATTGTGTTGATGTGTTGCAGATGGTCAGTTTCGTTTTTAGAAAAAATTATTAGGTCATTAACATAAACGTAACATATCTTTCTTATGTGCTCTCTCAGAAAGCCGTCAATAGTCCTTTGAAAAATACTTCCCGCATTTTTCAAACCAAAGGACAACCGGCAAAACTCATAAGGTTTAATTTAGTGTAAATTGGTTCATTGTCTACAGTGCGAATCGTAGCAATGACCGCAGTGTTAAACGGTAATGCCTCGATAGAGGCCGAAAATGCCTTTTCTATTTAGTATCATGCCTCTGATTTTTTTTTAATGGATGTGAGCACTACTTATCACTAACATCTGTGAAGTTTACAGTATCACAATAATGGTACTGCAATTGTTTAGAATTGTTTTGGAAATTAATAGTGCTGTTTTGTAAGTTTAACGCTACTCTTGCTTGTGTTAATAAGTCGAATCCTATGATGGCGTCGAACTTAGTGTGTCTAGCACAAAAAATGGTGAAGTTTGTCCG